TATATAAATATATATATAAGTGTATAAAATAAATGTTTTGTTTGTTTTATATAAATAAAAGTAAACAAGTTAGTCTCATTACATGACATTTACTAATCACACAACCAGAGCAACTAACTGCATTTAATTAGTGTTTCTAGTGTTTCAAGGAGTGGGCTTTATATTTATGAACGCTCTTTTATCTTATTTAGAGTTCTATATTAGGTAAGCGTATCAGCACTCAGAAATTGTTAATGCAAATTAGCCCATGTTCTTCGACAGGTAATAATAATGCCAAATAAAGTATCTAGATAAATGTGTTTCACTAAAGGAGTTCATTTCCAGTTTAATGCAATAAATTGTTTAACAAACATTCTAGTGTAGTTATAAATTTATTGAGACAGCTAAACAAAATTAGCAATTCCATTTTTTTCAGAATTTTACTGACATATGATATATCTACCACATTAAGCTATATGTGATCTAAGATTAATAAATTCTATTGAATGAGATATAGGTATCACCTTAAAAATCATCAATGGATTTGAATGCATATTAAAAGCTGAAATTTTTTTAATTATAAAAAAATAGTTAAAAAATTATATAATGACAGAGAAAAAATCTTAATGTGTTAATCTTTTTTTATTAAAGATTGGTACTCCTGGATTGTCGCAATATCTTTACGCTCCAACATCACCTTTATTGCTATTATTCTAGGCTTCACATCTTCTCTACATGGAAAAATATATCGCACAAAATAAATGGAGAATTAGATTCGTTTAGAACAATCATATAAAATAAATCCTATTGAGATCTAAGAGATATTATATATTAAGATATTAAATTCCATTGAGATATAGTCTACAGCATGCTTGAAAACCATATCGAATTTTAAAATAAAATTTAAAATCTTCTTTTGAATTTGGTTAAATAATCGAAAATAATATGTTATGGTGAACATGATTTAACGTCTTTCTCAACAAATGCAACTAGGGTTGTTAAAGAAACATGTTGTTTATATTTGAACTAAACTTTTTTAAATGGAAATAAATAGACTATAAAACTATACAATTAATAACTGCACTCAAAAAAATAATTTAAGTAATTATTACCTAAAAATATAGCACCAATATATCCACACCAACGGAAAAGGATACGTGAACACTTCTTAATAAATCTTAAACTTCAAATTAAAACTGAGAATGATCTTTCCTCTACCAGATGACGTAATGGCGGAGTCCTGTAAGATTCTTCACTTTCTCCTGTATGTTACTTAATTTCTATTTTTGATCTTGAAAAAAAAACCCTGATTATTTCTTCAACAGTAATTATACATGCGCTGTGTATTTTAAAGTAGATGCAATTGAAATTTCTATTTTATTTTCATGATCTGGTGAATTGGTTTTAGAAATGAATGATAAAACCTACTGCTGATAAGACAAGACTTATTTTCACCTCACGTGAGTCAATAATATTAGAATTAAGTGATGTGATACAATAAAATACTTGGATTTGGATTTTGCACAAGTAATTGTTTTGGAAACACACTATTAAGACAAAAAAGTCCTCTTGCATACGAACTCTGAATCAGCTTCAAACTCTTTTCAAAATGAAAAATATTGAATTTAAAAAATGGAATGTGTCGTCTTTAGTCAAGCAGCTATATGTACCCAACGAGACCTGCAAAACATTACTCTAATAATACTCAAGATCTTGTAGTATGTCAGAAACTCTGATGTATCTATTGAAATCATCATCAAGTACACAAAGCTTAAAACAGCCCAACGAGACCTGCAAAACGTTATTCTAATAATATTCTTTATTTTGTGGTATGTCAGAAACGCTGACATATATCTATCTATTGAAATCATCACCAAACACATAAAGATTAAAACAACTAATCTATTCAACAACATAAATTATCATCCCAACAATACATTAGTTGAACTCATACAAATGCAACCGA